GCTGTTAGAGCCGCTCACGTTTCAGTCTCTTTCTTACTCTTGGGTGAGGCCTGGGTCATGGTCTTGGGGTACAGGTTGGTGAGGCATCTGTGGGATGGAGTCCAAAGCAGCTGCCTGGCCTCCCTGCAGAGCCCCTGAGCAGTGCTGCCTCCTGGCTCTGTGCCAAGTGTGGTTCCTGGTTGCTTCCTGCTCTCCTCTCATCCTCCCAGGAGTTGGGCTGTGTTGGGTTGGTGGCCCTTGTGTCTGGGAGGCTCGGTGAGATGAATAGGCTGGTGGAGTTCCTGCAGCAGTGGGGAGCTGCCGCAGAGTCCCAGGACATTGTGCTGGAGTTGCCCAAAGAAGCTGTGGCTGCCTCTGCATCCCTGGAAATATCCAAGGCCACCTTGAACAGGGCTTGGAGCAGCCAGGTCTGGAGGAAGGTGTCCCTGCCTGTGGCAGGGGGAGGAATGAGATGAGCTTTAAGGTCCCTCCCAACCCAAACCAGTCTATAATTCTATCACATGTTGATCCCAGAGATTTGTACACCACTGGTGGGACATCCAACTCCAACTTTGGGAAGCTGCCTAGGAGTTGCCTTGTAGATGAACCCACATGTTATAAACAATAATCGATTGAGCCAAATTATTTTGCGACCGAGATACGGTCTCTGATAGCCACAATCAAAAGGGACAGCATCGAGCCCAGGTTCCGTGCTGGCTGAACACTGGTCCGACCTCTATCTCATCGGATCGCCCTCTGTTCACGCCAGTGTGTGTGTCCCGGCAGGTTTTATACACTTTAATTAGCCCGAGGCAGAGTCTCTTTTGTTCTTTTCATGGTTACACATATTCATGTTGTCTCCTTTCTCTGCGTTGGGCTGGACAATGTAGTTCCCAGCAAGCAATGAATGCTGATGTCTGTTAGGGGAACCTGGCATTGGGATGCAAGTTCCCGATGGTTCCTGCTGTCTTGATCTTCGGTACTTGTCGAGTATTCATCGCCCAGGTTGTTCTTGAGTAAGGACTCATCTTCTCCAGAGCCAGGCTCTTTCGATTGTAAATCAGGCTTCTCCTCTGCCATCTCTGGTTTCGCAATAGCATGAGGCAGTCTCTCGGTAGGTATGAGGTAATCCCTCGGCTCCCGCGTGTGCATTTGTAACCTTTCCAAATATTTCTTACAAACATTATAACTTATATAATGTATATTTTTATCATATTCTACATAGGCATGAATCATCTAAATTACTCATTACACCACAGAAAGGGGACAGGGGACTTTGGCTGTGACCTCCTGCGAGGAGAGAGATGGTGTGCAGGGAGGTGTGGCTGAACGGTACCACCTCTGCCTGAACTGCTGGAAGGTGCCAGCCTGAAACAAATGAGAAATTGTTGTTGCTGTTGGTATCAGATGACGTAGTTTACCCACCAGCAAATCAGCTGAGAAGCGGAGAGGCACTGAGTGAAGCAGGGAAATTATTTAGAAAGGTAATAAACCTAAGTGTAATATAAATATATGAGGGTAATGGATTCTATGTACAGAGGAACACAGAATGGCCGTCAGTGGTGTAGGTAGCACAAAGAGCCCACCACGGCATTTCACATCTGTGTATTTGAGTTCAAGGGAAAGAACCAAGAAACCTAAAGGTCAACTTCCACAAAGCTCTGCTGCCCTACTTCCCCCTCCATCACAGCCGCTCCGGTGCCTGCCCTTATGGGGTGTGGTGGGCTCCCGCAAGTCACGCCCTCGCCAAACCCAGCAGGAGCGGGGGGAGAGGTTGGAAAGGCAAAAGCAAGAGAATTTGAGGGCGGAGAGAGAGACTCATCTTGTAAGGAGAGCAGGAGAGGCTCTGGGTGTCCCCGCGGTGCCGGGCAGCACCTGCCAGGCTCGGCCCTCCGCCCTGCAGCCACCGCGGAGCTTCGGGCAGGTGGAAATGACCTGCAGACACGAACTGCCCCGGGGCACCGTGCTGCTGCGGCGCCCGGCCGCGCTCCCGTCCTTAACGCGGCCCAGGCACTCCCAGGCATTCCCGCGCTGCCTCTCCCCGAGCAGCCCCAGCGCAGGGGAAACTGAGGCGCGGTCAGGTGGGGCTGTGCCTCCTCCGTGTCAGCGTGCACAGCTGGAAACTCCTGGAAGGACAAGAGAGGAACAAATTCAAGTCACAAGCAGTGCCTGTGACTTAATGATGGAGGCTTGTGTGTGTCGCGGCCACAGCTGAGCCCTCCGTAGGCACATTTTTCCCACATGTGACACCATCACAGCTGCTCTCAGAGCTCCTGTGCTTGAAGCTCATCTGTGCTGCTGGCAAAGCATGGCTCAGGTGCTCCTGAAGGGGGGGTTATTGATAATTTTTTCCTTTTAATAACTACTATGTTCTTTGTCAGAAAATTTCATGTTCCTTGAAGTTAGGGGAATGAGGTGACATCTGAAAGGAAAATTTTATTCTAAAACTTGTCTTGACATTTTTCTTCTCTCTTTTTGAATTTCCCTTTTAATAAGGGGAAAAGGAGGAAGGGAGAGCACACAGAATGCAGAGGAAGTGAGATTTCCCACCACAACAACAAGACTCTTCAAAACATTTTTTTTTAACCAAAACAATAGTCAAAAAATATCAGAAAGCAAACCGTGGCAGTTTACCAAACATCCTTAGCTTGCTTTTTTTCATAAACTGCTCTGAGTTTTAACTCCAATGACTCCTCACACAAGTAGATAAGAGGAATGACTCTGGGGTGAGCAGGGAGGCAGGAATGTAAATACACCATTTGACTGCAATGAGTAAACTCCTGAATCTGGCATCACCAGGGGAATGATGGATGCCCTGGCACTGCAGGCATTGAATATATTGAATTATAGAATCACAGATTGGTTTGGGAACTTAAAGATCATCTCATTCCTCCCCCTGCCATGGGCAGGGACACATTCCACTATACCCTAGGATGCTCCAAGCCCTGTCCAGCCTGGCCTTGGATGCTTCCAGGGATCCAGGGGCAGCCACAGCCCCTCTGTGCCAGGGCATCACTTCCCTCTAACCAAAGATTTTTCTTCCTAACATCCAATCTAACGCTGCTCTCTGTCAGTTTAAAACCACTGCCCCTTGTCACTATCTACCCATTTAAAAAGTCCCTCTCCTTCCATTTTTGAAGCCTCCTTAAGGCACTAGAAGGCTGTAATTGGGTCTTTCTGAAGCCTTCTTTTCTCCATGCTTCAATTATATCCATGCAGTTACATTTTATAGACTGCTCTACCCAGTAACTGTGGTCCAGGGGATGGATCGGTGCTGTGGCATTGCTGATGGCCATGACATGACAAGGGACCCTGTGTGTCTTAGCACAAACCCTTGCAGTACTGTAGCTGTGCCTGGCTGCTTTTGTTCAGCTCCTGGTGCAGGAATCCTTTTTACTCACATTGTGACCTTGGGCAAGCAACTTTGCTGTGCTTAAAATTAACTTCTCTGCAAACAAGGTGCATAAATCTCCATGTCAGGAGAAGCTGCGGCATGGCATGAGGGACTCAGGTTTGGAGAAGGGTTTTTCCACCCTGAGTTGTCACATGTGTGGTGTGACCCTCTGGGGCAAGGGTGCCAGTGCAGCCCCAGAGACGGGGTGGTCCTGATTGTGCCTCAAATCATGAGCCTTTGGCCACTTTCCATGGGGGAAGAGGGTTCAGTAAAATCTGCTATAGCTCAGGGTGTTTCCACACAACCCCCCCTTTCTCCTAATTTGTGTGGTTTTGCTGGCAGAGCTAAATAAGGGCTGCAGAGACTGATGAAAGAGGCTGCAGGCTCGTCTTACAAAATAAAAAGGCTGGAGCAAATTGGCGTGCCTAGCCTGGGAAAACAGAAGCTAAGGGCAGCACAAGGAGAGCGGTGTGCGGATCCCAGGGTACGCCCTGCGGGAGGAGATGAGCTGCAGAAAGCCTTGGCACAAGACTGTTTTGTGTCTGTAGCCTGTGACTACACGCAGCCTGGAAACGAGAGGTGGCTCTTAAGCACCAGAGGAGGGAGGGCCTGGAAAGACTTCCCAGCAGGAGCCCTGTGTGCCCGGAGCACACAAACTCCTTTGGTACCCTCTGAGGGGTTTCAGGTTGCCACAGCCACCATAAGGGAGCACGAAGGGTCCCACAGCCCCACACACCCAGGCTGGTGTCACTGCAGGGCCGTGGGAGGATGTCTGTCTGTCCAGCCCGGTCCAGGCTGGGTGTGCTCTGCAGATAAACAGCTCCTTTTACACTTATTCATTCTGCCTGTGTACACAGCCTGCTCGCCAGCGGCCGGGAGGTGCCTTTTCCCGGCGCTGCCTTTGGTGTGGGTTTTACAGATGGTTTATATTCAATCAGGCAGAGATGAGGGAGGAACATGGCAAATGTATGAAGTGTGCTGGTCATCGCTGGCTTCCTGGGACACCCTGACCTTCACCCACTGATCCATAGAGAGCATGGAGTCATCACTGACTCCTCAGTCTCTGGTTGCTGTCAGGTCCCTTGTATTTCCTCTTACTGGACACTTAAAGCAACTGGGGTTATAAAAACAGGAGAAGGGAGAGGTGACAGCTGGGCCTGGAGAATTACAGGGAGGAAATGAGATTAGAGGGAGCAAGGATCACCAGGAGGCAAGATTGGCCCCATGCTGGGCAGTCAGCTCCTTCCCTCACAGCCCGACCCCACAAGTGGCTCCTTCCCTCACAGCAGTCAGGGATCCATCAGCTTCTCTTTCCCTCACAGCTCAGCCCCACAGTCTGCTCTTTCCCTCCCAGCCTGACCCCACAAGCAATCCCTTCCCTCCCAGCACAGTCCAACCCCTGAAGCTGCCCTTTCCTCCACAGCTCCCTCCCTTATAGTAGTCAGGGATCCATCAGCTACCCCTTCCCTCACAGCCCAGCCCCACAGCCTGCTCCCTTCCCTCAGCCTGGCCGCACAACTGGCCCCTTCCCTCGGCACTCAGGGACCCACCAGCAGCCCCCTGCTCGCGGCCCGGCCGCCGCCGCTGCCCCGCGCCGCGGGCCCGCCCNNTTGAGTATCCTCGCCGGGGCAGGCACAGCGCGGGCCGCAGGTACGAGCGGAGCCGGCGAGCGGAGCGGAGGAGAGCGGCCGGGCCGGCGCGGCCATGGGGAAGGTGCAGCTCTTCGAGATCCGCCTGGGCGATAGCCGCGTCGTCTACAGCCCCGGCGAGCCGCTGGCCGGCACCGTCACCGTGCGGCTCTCGGGCTCGCTGCAGTACCGAGGTGAGCCCGCGGCCTGCCGTGCCCTGCCGTGCCCGCCGCCCGCGGGGCCACACGGCGGGGCGGATATCCCGGGGAGGGTTCACGGGCTGCCCGCGGGGCGCCCCGGGGATGGTGCCGGGGAGCGGCCGGGCTCCCTTCCTCGGCTCTGGGGACCGGCGGCTCCGGGGCTGCCCCATCGCTGCTGCCCCCGCTGCCATGCGGCGGCCGGGAGAGGCCGATGGGAGCAACCTGCTGGGTTATTTTCTCCCCCGATTCCTCCTCTTACTTTTTGCTCCTATCTCATAAATAAGGAAACATCCTCCCAACCCCCTTCCCAAGGCAGCCCAGCGCGGGGCTGTGCCACAGCAGCCTCCGGAGCTGGCGGGTGCCCAGGGTGGCAGCGGGTGCTGGTGGAGGGGCTCGCCCGTCTCGTTCTGCTTTCCCGGTGTCCTGCGGCTTCCCAGGGCTGCCGGCATCGCCCCGGCACGGCCCCCGAACCCCGAGCCTGGTGCTCCTGGGTCGGACGGAGCCCGAATGTGTCCGGGCAGGGCGATGGCAGGAGGCGGGCGATGCCGTGTCCCGGTGGGCAGCAGCCCTGCCTCGGCAGGAGGGAGGAGACGGGCGATGCTGTGTCCTGCGGGAGCGGCACCCACCCCCCGGCTCGCAGGTACCGTCCGCAGCCAGCAGCCGTGTTGTAACATCTCGAATGAACTCGGGCGTTTGAGTTGTGGCTCTGCTAGCGTGGGAGATGTCCGCGGTGTGTACGAGGTGCTGTGAGTGGAGGGCAGAGAGTGCCCGCTGGGCAGCAGTGGTCTGGAGCAGCAGGTGCTGGGCTACGGGGTTGTTGTTGCTCCACGCGAGGCTCAGGCCATGCTCGTGGCTGGTGCAGTCCGTCAGGGCAGAGGGATGGGGCTGGACGGCAGGGAGATGAGCTGCTGGGCTCGGATCATCCAAACTGGGAGCTTCCTCCCCCTCCTGAGACAAGTCATTCGCATTTGCAAGTCAGCTTTGTGCTCAGTGCTGTGGAAATGTGAACCAATTTGCTGTTTTCCCTGAGGTCTTGCTTGCTTCTCGTGTGTGCATTCTGCTTCCTTTGTAACAAATTATTGGAGGGGGAAAAAAAGACCAAGTAATGTAAAATGCGAAGTCTCTGTTCAAGAGCTGTCAGCCTGGATGATGGTGCCTATGCTTGCCTGAGCCTTGCTTTTGCGAGCACCTCTCCCAGTTGTCTGCAATAGCTTTTGGAAGCTTCTTGTGGAAAAAACGTATCTAGGACAAGCATAAACTTGTAGCCTGTTTAACTCCTGTCAGGGCAATACTGTTGCAGATCCAGCGTTTATCTCAGTGGAGAGCACTCCCAGATGCACTTCCAGCAAAGACGTTCCTAATGAAGTCTGGCTGACTTCCCTCCTCGGCCCATCCCGTTGACTTCCATCCATTCCTGAGGGTGCTTCAAGGACAAGAGTTTGGTCTTGGAGGGTTGGGTGTGCTGGCCCCTTGTGCTGCCAGCTGGCCAAAGCTACTTGCTGCTGCCTCTACAATTCCCATTTGGAGAGGACCTGCCATGTTCTGCTCTACACCAGCTCTGCTTCCTGGTGTTGTTGTAGCAAAGGAGAAAGGTGTCTCTTTGTTCTAGACCTTCTTTCTGCTTCCTTATTGCTTTGATTCTGAGAAGCATCAGGGTCTGGTGTTAAGTGCGGGTCCTGAACTCAGAAGGGGCTTTGCTGTGGTGTTTGGGGCTAGTGCAGGGATTTTGGTAAGAGCTGGGGCAGCTGAGCTCTAGGAAAGCTGTCAGAAACATTGAGCCAAAATCTGAGGTGGGCTCCATGTGGTCGATGCTTCTTTTGTGCTTGGGTCACTGAGCAGCTCTTCTAGGCTGTTTCCTGTATAGTGGCTTCATGAGCTGGGGTAGAAACTTTCCATTACTGTGTCAGAACTCACCCAGTTAAGTCACACTTGGATGTGAAACCAACTTCTGCCAAACACAATGTGATTCTTTGTTGTGTGTTCTCCCTCCTGCTGTGTATCTCATGGTCTCTGGTGCTTAAACCCTCTGCACTTGATCTCTTGGGCACCCTCTCCTTATTTCTGGATGAAGGAAATGTCTCACCCTCAGAGGAAGAGGCTCATGTAGCTGCTGAAACATCTTTTTGGTGTTACAGCAGGTGACTACCTGCTGAAAGAGATCTTAAAGGGACTTGCGAGCCCTGTTGAGCTCTGTGGGCTCAGTACTGGAGGGATCAGACAGCCTGACATGCTCTGGCTTCCTGCTGGGCTGTGGGGAGAGCTGGGTGGCATCAACTCATCCCCCCACACATACCCCCCCACACCTTCTGTGGCCAACTGTGACTTCCCAGGTTAATAAACTAATTCTCGGAGAAGACACAAAGTCCTCACTCCTGTCAGGTCGGGCCCACAGCTCCACAACTTGGTGCTTTCCATTTCGTGAGCCAGGCGAGCCCGGCGCGGTGACTTCTCGGTGCTGTGGTGTGTGAGATCACAGCCGGAACCAGCCTGTAGGTGACTCCTCACACAGTAACTTCTGGCTCTTGGAAATTACACCTTCTGAAAGGTGACAGTGCAAACAAACACAGCTCGTTGTGCCTGGCTAAACACAGGAGAAATCTTGGGTCATGGAACAGCGTAGCTGGGGACACACCTTTTGGGATCATTAATGTTCCCACTTAGACTGGCGTCAGTGCCAGCCCTGCTGACTGGCAATGAGAGCTCTTCAGGAGCACATCTTCTTCAGCTGACCTTGCAGCAGCATCACAAATACTGACTGGTCCTTGGTGACCCACGTGAACCTTCTGAGGAGCCACACTTCTTCCTGTGCCTGTGCCAGGGTGAGGGACCTGCCCAGAAAACTTCTGAGCCTCAGGGGAGAGTGCTGATGGAAACAGAGAATTCCTGATCATTGTGCCTGGTTTGCTGGGTAAATCATCAAACGTGTGTGTACAAAGAATAATTAATCTTACAGGAAGCTTGCGCAGGGACAGCTGGAGATGGAGTTAATTTGTGGGGAAGGAGGAGGGAAGCCAGTTCATGTGGAGCAGGGCAGGCAGTCCTGCTTGCCGGCAGTAGCATGTGGGAACAAAGGCTTGTGCTGCCTGGAGATGCTGGAGCACTTTCCTCTCAACTCTGTGGCTTCCAGGGGCCATGTGGATTATTTTGGTCCCGCCTGCCGTTCAGTGAGGCTTCAACAAGGGTAGTGTTAAAATAACAGTCCTCTCTGCCAGGTCACCAAGAGAAAAGAAACAGCAAGTGCTTTCCGGAGCAGATTTCAGCACTTTGCTATTCTCCCCTCTGTTATTTGGCTGTCCAGGTTTATGCAGGGATGAGTTGACTTTAAAATCACTCCCTTGAATTACAAAGCTCTAGAAACAAGTACTCATGTTTGTTCATGCTGTAGAAATACAGATACATAATTCCCATTTCCACAGAGCAGAGAACCCATGAATAATAATTTTCTTTTTTGATCTTACATGTAGTAAATATTCTCAGTTCTCGTATGGAGGACAGAGAAAGCTGGTGGTGAAGGGGGATGAAGAGCAGGGCTCTGAAATGCTGGGTCAGGTATCCAAACTAAAAGGTAACTTCTGTTCCCTAGAAGGGCAGCAGGGAGAAATTTTGGTTTGGTGGTTCTGACATGTGTGTAACCTGTGCCCTTCCTGAGGGGAAGGGATGACACCAAAGGACTTTGTTGGCCACGATTCTCCTACCACTTGACCTCTGGTACAGTGGAAAACATTGTTCCTGCAGGAAGGCTGTGGCTTGGGAAAATGCTGGGGAAAAGGTGGATTCAGTCCCTGCATAGTTGGCTGGCTCTCTCCTGAGTCAGAAGTTTGTCTGTAAAGGAGGATTGGAAATCCCTGTGCTGGCAGCATGGGTCACCCACTCACCATTGGGGCAGCAGGGACCCCATGGCTGGTCCCTGCTTTGGGGGGCAGTGTGGGGTGGGAGCCTGCAGAGCTGAGGAAGGCCTGGGAGTTTGGAGGGCACTGTCCCTGGTGATCCTGGCAATATCCCATGAGTCCTTGAGCTGTCTGGTATCCACCAGCAATGGTGGGTGCCAGGATGAGCCAGGCTCAGGAATGCTCACGGATGGCTCCGCAGCATCACTCCCGCAGGCTGGGTGGCTCCTGCTGTAGGGGAGCTGGATTAACTTTCTTTTCTCATTGTGTGAAGCAAGACAGCGGGGAGCTGTGTGGCCAAGTCTGTCTGAGGCTGGGGAACAAAAGAGGGATTTTTGCTCTCCTGGCTGGCTTGCTGCTAGAGCTCAAACTCCTCTGGAGTCAATAACTAATCACGAGATGGGTTTGTGTCTCTGTCACTGCAGTGAGCCGCTCTGTGCCGCTCCCCCCGCCCGCGCACTGCTTGTGTTCAGCTGAAAAACTGCTTGCTGCTTTCCTTGGCGAGGAGACATGCCACGGCCTCCCATCCCTTGTTTAACAAAATGGGAGGACAAGTGGAGTGGAGTTCTGTCTGTCTGATTTGCTTCCAAGTGTGACAAACGGGGTGTGAGTGCTTATCCCTTCCCTGGAGCAGTGCAGAGCTGTCAGAGATGTAGCTTGTCTTTCTGGGCTGGAGTCAGGTAGGCGGCAGGGAGACTCCCTGGCTGGGAGGAAGACGCCTGTGGGCTTCCATCCCTCTCATCCCGAGGCAGTTCCCTATCCCTGGCTGTGTTGGGAGAGGAGGAGCAGCCAGGGGGGTGCATGGACAGGCGTGCTCCACTCGGAGCGTGTTGAGGAATACTTTGTGCTGTAAGTCATCCCCAGGGAAGAAGTAGGTGTGTAGAAGACACAGAGCTGTCACTTGGCTGGATGAAGTCTTGCTAAAGGCTCTCATGGCCAGTAAGAGGAGGATGAACATGTGGATCATCCTCCACTACCCAGAGAGGGGGTGCTCCAGCCCTTCCAAGAGGAGGGAGTGGGGTGGTTGGGTTGTGCTGCAGGGCTGCTGCAGACATGACATGTGCCAGAGCATAGAGAAAGGTGCTCTGCCAGGCATTGAGGAAGGTC